TTATACCTTTTTTCAAGCTTTCCTTCTCCACAACTAGTTTTGGTGGGATGAGACAATACCCATTATCATCATCATCAGATGATAAACAGGTATAGTTAACTTTCAAACGATCTGTAGACTCAGTTTTATTAAACATAAGTGAAATATTACATTGAATTTTACTTCCATCTGAATTACTGTAAGAAAAAGTAAAACATATTATCAATGAAAACTGCATTATGAAACATATTTAAATAAGTTTTACTCTATACTAGGAAAAATATATTATTGTAACTGAAATTATCAGAATCCTGTAAATCTTTATTTTGTACAATAACTTGAAGTCAATTCTTAAAATTATATTTTTCAAAAGCTTAACCATTAGACATGTAGTATCAAATTCTCCTGAATGAATGCTTTATTAATAGTCTCTAGAAGTTAAATTTCATAATCAGTGATATAAAATTTATATTTTTCTAATGATGAGCTTCACAGAATTTGGGTTTATGAACCTTTTCTTTACCAAACTTCTTACGCTAACAAGTGTATTTGGTAGTGTATAAAAATAAAGAAGTAAATAGCTGTGGATTGAGCTGTTTACAAACAACTTTGGAATTGAGGTTTAACTTATGTAACTTCAAGCATGCTGTATGTGTGCATGCATAATAATGACTCCAACACTTTTAACAATTGTTGACAGTAATGCAACATTTTTTAACAGTGCCAATTACAAAATGAAACTTAAGAAGTATTTAGTCACTCTATTGTTACTATTATGCATAAAACAGATAAAAACGAAAGACATAATAATTGCAAACATTATATCATGTAAGAGAACATGTGTGAGATTTTTACATGTAAATATAAATTATGCAGTATATAAACACATCTTCAGTATATGTTTTGATCTACTTTGTTGATGCTAACAGTTAACATTTTAACTTTTCTATCACACTGTTGTTGCTCTATTACTAATAAGCATTACTAGCATTTTTAAACATTTAACTTTCACTGTCTTCCTTCAATATTTCTTTTGTAATTGAAACAAGATATTTATATATATACATGTTTTATAAAGTTACTATTAATTATTCAACAAACAACACATATAAAAAAATGTATACATATGTATATATACAAAAACAACATAGTAATGAGACCAAAATTCGGAACTATTATTCCATTACCAGACCTCATTGTCATCTTTAAGTCATAATGGATAATGCCTGTGGCCATAGAACCCAAATGCATCAGGGATATTCCATCTATCAGACAAGATTCCGATGCCAAATTCAACAGCAACTAAGAAAAATCAGTTAAGGGTTAAAGTTGGGTGCCTGAGCCCACCATGTCTCGACTCATACTACCTTTTTCTGTCTGCAGCTAGTTGTGGGAAGACAGTTATCCTTAACATTTAGATATAACCTCAAAATATAATTAAACCACTCTAAAATTCTACAATGTAAAATGGGGTGGAAAGAACTACTGGTCTTTTCTTAGCTCACTCAGTTTATAATTGAACAAATTTTCAAGACAAATGAAGGAGGATGGGGTTTAAGAATTATTAATGTAAGGGTTTTTAGTTCTGTCTAACATCACTAGTTATTAAATAAAAGGATGGAGAATTGTAAGATTTTAGAATAGTTTAATTCTACTTTAAGGTTATGCCTAAATATTAAGGATAACTGCCTTCCAACAACTGGCTGCAGACAGCAAAAGGCAGTAGGAATTGAGACATTGTGGATTCAAGCATTCAACCCATAGCTGATTCTCCTTAGTTGCTGGTGAGTTTGACATTGACATCAGGATCTTGTCTGATAGATGAATTATCCTTAATGCTTTTGTGTTCTATGGCCACAGACATTATCCATTATGGCAATGAGGACTAGTAATGGAAAAATAATTCTGAATTTTACTCTCATTATAATGTTGTTTTTGTATTAAGTTTATTATTGTTCTACTGTGCTAATTTAATCATCTATCTATTTAATAGTATTAGAATTATTAATT